CAAACGGAAAGATCGATCGTAAACAGTTACCAAAACCAGATTTTACACAAAACGAGTGCCAAATCGAAATAAATGGCTGTCCTCAAACAGACTTCGAACGTCAGATTCACGACATATGGTGCGAAATGTTAAACTTGAAACTAGTATCAATGAATTCGAGTTTCTTTGCATTGGGTGGTAATTCATTGCTGATGATGAAATTGTTTTACCATTATCAAACTCTTAATAATCAAATCAGCATCAACAATTTTTATGAGTTTTCAACGTTACGCGATCATATTCTGTTATTACTCAATGACGTGTCAGACGTGCAGAAACGGTATAATGACGATCCGTATTGTTATAAGGTTACAGAGAAAATTATTGACAAATATGTCGATTTGATTAAACATGATTCCGCTGTTAGTTCTCACGTATCGACCTCACGAGTCACCTCAGCGTTCAATCGAGTATTTATGATTACGGGGACAAATGGTTCACTTGGAAGTTGGATTCTTATCGATTTATTGTCACGACCAAATCAAGTTGTGAAAAAAGTTTATTGTCTTATTCGTGGTACAGATAAGCAACGCCTTCGTCTAGCATTTGAACAACGTAAACAAGATGTTACATTGCTGAAGGATGAAAAACGACTTATCATTTTACCACAAATGGATTTATCAGATAAATACTTGGGACAATCAACAAAAATGTATAAAGAACTACAAATGGAAGTAACAGACATTGTGCATTCTGCCTGGAAAATGAATTTTAATTTATTAATTGAACATTTTGAGAGCGATTGCATTCAAGGAGTCTACAACTTACTAAAATTAGCGCAGGAAACCCGAATTAGGTTCCACTTTATATCGACTTTTGCTTCAACTGAAGGTTCAATTGTGAAGGAAGAGCCGCTCCGTAGACGAGGAGAATCGACATTACCACAAATAGGATATGGACAGTCGAAATATGTGGCAGAACATATCTGCATGGTAGCAGCGGATTCCTGGGGCAAGTGACTATATTTACTTCTTGATTCTGCTTGAAAACATCCCTCCTCCCCATGTGATGACAGATCTCAATGAGTTATGAAAATGCTCGGCTTGCAACCACTACTTCCCTTAGGATATATTTTGCTTTATATCCAAAAAGGTGCTTTCTGGAGGCAATAAGGTGGGAGCGCCAAGCTGGGATCTACTTGATCTGTCAACTTTAGTGCTCTTCTCGAGCACTAAGAAAACAATCAACCGTGATTCGCGAATAAGGCTCAAAAACCTTTTTTCAAACAATGATGCAAGAAAATCAAATATCTGAGCCACCGCAAGCCTTCCTCTTCCCTTTTTGTGGGACGTTTGAGCTTCCCAAATATAAGGGCTCCGCCACCTATGGTTACAACATGCGGGTAAATCAAAATTACAGTAGAATTGATTTTTAACTTTTTTACACATGGTTAGGTAAAACTCATGAGCTGATTAAGAATATGTGTGTTTTAATTTTTCTTGAAGTTTTTTTCAGGTTAAAACTAGAAGGGTCGAAAAATGGAAAAAATGGCGAATTTTCGAAAAAACGCTAAACTCTATCTGAAGTTTATTTTCAACACTGAAAACTAATTTGTTCAGACCAACGAAAAAGTGAGTCTAGAAAAATTGACTTAAGCTTCTTGAAAGAAACTTCATCGGTCGAAGTTTTTGAGCGGGAACTGGACTCCAAAAAGGCTGCCACACGATTTTGTAACTCTATCTGTAAGGCTCTCGGAATGGTTTTTTAGAAAAGTAGTTTCCTGGAAAACTCTTTGGAAAGTTTGTGAAGATCTAGATAGTATTTCGTTCGAATTCTCTGCTACTTTTAACGTATCTCAAAACGTTGTCACTAATTTCTAACGAAAATGCAAATTTTAGCGAAAGAAAGGTCCCCGTTTTCTACAAAATTGTCGTTTTTTTCAATAAAATTGATTTGTCTCCAAAATTATATAGAAACTAGAAAGAAAAGTTATCTGTACTTTTGTTGCCCGTTAGACGGCGGTTCTAGTGGGGTATGAAACGAGACCTTATTTCTTCACACAAAAAACAGATAGAGTTACAAAATCGTGTGGCAGCCTTTTTGGAGTCCAGTTCCCGCTCAAAAACTTCGACCGATGAAGTTTCTTTCAAGAAGCTTAAGTCAATTTTTCTAGACTCACTTTTTCGTTGGTCTGAACAAATTAGTTTTCAGTGTTGAAAATAAACTTCAGATAGAGTTTAGCGTTTTTTCGAAAATTCGCCATTTTTTCCATTTTTCGACCCTTCTAGTTTTAACCTGAAAAAAACTTCAAGAAAAATTAAAACACACATATTCTTAATCAGCTCATGAGTTTTACCTAACCATGTGTAAAAAAGTTAAAAATCAATTCTACTGTAATTTTGATTTATCGGCATCTTACTTGAATGCGCAATCTCTTAAATATAAAGTAAAGTGGATTAGCGACCGCACTCTTGATCCTTTCCTCAATGTAGAGAAAATCAGGTTTCTCAGTGTCTGCAAGAATAACTTGATGATGACGGGTGTAGCATTCGTACATTAGTATTACTTTGCAAAATAATATTAATATTCGGATATTAGTGTTAGTATTATAAAAAAATCTATTATTTGCTTGGAAACAACAGTATTACTGCAGTAGCAAGCGATCTCAGTACCATCAGTAATACTAATATGCCAGCCCTATTTTTAACTGGGTTCGGTTGGATTATAGAATTTGAGCTAATGTATGAAATTATTTTTCTCAAAATACTAGGTGAAACGGACTATACCACCTTCTATTTCCGGGTAGAGTACCATACGCTTTTTCAGCTAGATCTGACAGAATCTACTGCTATTTTTCTTGCCGATGTTCAAGTGTAAAAGGCGCTTTATCTAAGAAACTTCAGAATTGACGATTTTCACACCTGGAAGGCTACCGTCACTTAGGTAAATCGATTTGGTTAACTGCCAGAAGACATGCTTTCGAATTAAATAGCGTTCATATTTTGTTTAGGTATACCAGTTGATATTTATCGTTTTGGACAAATATCGGGTGATACACGAAACGGCGTCTGGAATATAACGGAAGAGATTCCGCTGATTATCTGTGCTGGTGGTGGCTTGATGGGCAAAATTCCGAACAGTGGTGAACCAGTCGAATGGATTCCTGTTGATATTGGCAGTTCATGCGTTGTCGATATTGCATTAAACTGGCCGCCGAATCAATGTGGTATTCATCATCTACTGAATCCAAACAAAATAGGATGGAACTTACTACTAAATTATCTTCAAGCTTCAGCAAAAGTAAAATTTGAAATTGTTCCAATGAAGGAGTTTACAAAAAGCATAGATAAATCAAATCCTCTAGCAAAATTAAAACCAATGTTTGAGAAACTTTATGAAATAGAAGATGATTCAACAACAATGGAGACTCATTTTGAAACAACAAAAACTATTGAAAAAACCGATAAACTAAAATACTGTCCAGCAATTAATCAAGACTTGATTAACTTGTATTTGAATTATTGGATCGAATGTGGGTTTCTTAAATCATAAATTTACAGTCGTCGAAGTTCAAACATAAACATATGGTCACTCCGATGCTTGACTAATAAATACATTTGAAAGACGGGAAAAGTACTAGAATATTTTAACGCTTTTTTATCAAAACTTTTGACATGTCAGCTGCGGATACCCCCTTCCAGTTTGCTTAGTTAATAAAAACACACCCGATAAATTTGCATAGCCTTTTGTTAGGTCATACAATAGTCCAATTTTGTGTTTTTTGTTTTTTCTCGCATTGAAAAAGAATAAACGAAAAAATAATATATTTATATGACAGAAGTCACATTTATCTTCGATGCAATCCTTACTTGACTGAAACAACTTGATTAGTTGACCAACACATGGAAGAAAAACACAGCTCAGACGTTCAGCTCAGACGTTCAATTCGACTTTCGAAACCTTCTATGACTGAAATCCTCCTTCTCATAGAATTGTCAAACCGATGAACAAAAATGCCTCTGGCGAAGTTATTTCTACACAAAAACAAACGTCATCACGGTACAGACGAGTTCTTTTCGAGTTTTTGTGCTCCGAATCTCGGGTCGGTATTAAACGAACTATGAGGCTTCAGACTAAAAGCCAGTAGAATGTGATTATACGTTATTTCGGAGAAAAGATATTTGTTGCGAAAACATTAACGGGTTAGTTTTCAGCGTTTCTTGAAAAAAGTTTATTTGAAAGTTGCGACAAGAAAAATAGATAACTCTGTTTTACTAAGTTCTACTCTAAAATCTTTTCTCATTAAATGCTAATTTGTTGCAAATTTAGAAGATCTAATAAAAAGCGCGTCGAGCAAAGTTTGTAGAGGAGTAAACGAGCTACTGATTGCTAAAAAAGAATCTTTCCAATGAGCTTTCCATCCCTCGATAATTGTGTTGTATCGTCGTGACGGTGACGCTGTGACACACTTTTTTCCCAACAAAGTTTGGAGCACTACACATTGCTCAAAGGATTTCATTTTCACATCGGACTTAGTTTTAGGCATCTAATATAGACTAACATGAAAATAAAGCTGAAACAATGTTTTCACTTTCTTAGAACTGTGTGGCAATCTTAAAACTTAAAGCTTTATTAAAAAGCTTGCTTTGAGTCTAACCTTCAAAAGAAACATAGGATCTTGTAGAGAATCTAAATCGATTAGTGTGGCCTTCCATTTTTAGTAGGAAAAGTGTCTAAGTAAGGAAATTAAAAATACAGCTTTCAAAAAATGTAAAACTGGATTTTTGATGCCAAAATTTAACTTTTAAAAAAACATAATGTGAGATTCGTAATCAGCAACAAAAACTGCATCTAGTGATATGCTCAGTTTTACTCTAAAATAATTTTTTCAAGAACTTGATCAGCGAAGTCTCAAGTTACGTGGACAAGCCGTCAACATGTTAGCGACCAGATGAAAATAGTAATACTTTAAAAAACGTTAAAGTTGTTCATTGTTTTGTATTAAAATAGTTTATTCTTCATGAAAGAATTTCGTGAAAGAGTGATGTTCCTGCTGCTACTTCTCTTTATTCTCTAGAACCGGACATTTTTTAGAAAAATGCTCTGTACAAAATTATAGCCTGATATCAGAACTTTCAAAATATCTAATCAGTTTTGATGGGACATTTCTACTATCGTTCTCAAAAAGCAGTGCCCCTGGTTATTTTTTGAATAACTTAAAAGGAATAAAAGATAGAGGCTTGTGAAACATTATTGATCAGCGCCATAATGAATATAAAATGTTTTTGGATCAGTTCGAATCAAGAAATTATTGTTACAACTTTGAGTTCGCTTCAAGAAGTTTTTGCCCTATATTCCATAGCATTTTGTAATTTATACTTCTTATAGTTGATAACAATGTTAGAAGAACGATAAAACGAATCACTAAGAGTACCACTTGAAATCGATCAGATGAGTGCAAACACAAATACTTTCATAAATTATAGAACTCGCTTTCTGATTACTTCTCAACAAGAAACATGAGGTTTCCAAGAACCATTTAATTTTCAGTTAGATGCAAAGCCGATAAGTACAGCAGACTATGAATGACTTTTAGCGAAGTTTTTCTAAGTGCTTACTATCCAAAGGTATGTAAAGACTTTAATAGAAGAAGTAGGATACAGAGCTTCTCTCTGTGAGATTGGTGCATGCCGTATCATTGTGCGCATTTTCTCCAGTGTCTTAAACCTTGGAGTTGAAACGCGACGAACAGCGAGAACTGCTCTCAAAAACACAGAGAACGGTTAGAAACGTGCGTGCTACCGTTTTTTATTGGTGCTTGGGTAAATTATGATATCTGTTTTGTTTTCTAATTTTTTTATAGCAATTTAACGTGGCGTCTCGATCGAGTTAAGACCTATCGAGATATAAGATATAAAATATCGCCTCTAAACGCGATATTTTATTGAAAAAAACTTCATGGGATGTGTTGAAGGATTGTATGGAAGAACGTTTCGTCGATTGATTGATGATCGGATAATTTTATTATCGTAAATTATAATTTACTACGACTTGTAGTCTACAAGATGAAACAATACAAACAACTATCATATTTAGCTCTATTGTGCTTATACATGAACTTGCCCATACACTTGTTTCACCAACACGTAATACAACACCTCATCTAACAAGTTTCTCTTGTTATCTAAAACCAGCCTATGATGGCGGCTTCTTCGTTGGTACGTATGGTTGTTTTTCTCTATATTTACTGCTAGCAAATTTTCTAATCTTCTTTTAGAGCATAAGTGTTTTGGTGGTGAACTCTATTTGAATAAAACGAAAACAAGCATATCTACAGATGATTTCATTTCCCGTGCGATTCATTGGCGACGATTTATTACAAGCGATTTTTGATACAAAATCATTTTTAGGGTCAGCACGCACCACAGGTAACCCACACTTCAATCTATGGGTAGCGCTATTGCCACCTCTAGAGGTGTCACCAAGGAGCTATTGCCACCTAGCGCCAGAAGGTGTCACTGACGGCTATTGGCACCTCCCAGCTTACTACTATGTCGAAGATGGCAGTAGCCGTTATTGACATCGTTCTCAACATTCTTAAAAATACCCAGTTTTTGAAAATGAGCAAAAATTCGTGAAATTTTCGAAAACAAGCAAATTTTTCATATTTATTGTTTTTCTAAAATTTCAAACTACTTTTTTCTGATTCTCCATCGAAATTGAGTATAAAACGCAGAATTTCTCAATTTTGAAGTTGACACTGACCGCCAAATTCATGAAACAGGTGTAGAATCATAGCTACCTTACTATCAAATTTGCAAACGTATCTAGATTTTTCCATCGAAAGACTAAACATTAATTGCTATGTCCTTCTAATCAGTACACTTGTAGGTAAAAAAGTATACAACTTTCCATGAATTATGCAGTTCCGTGAATTTGGCGGCTGGTGTCAACTTTAAGATTGAGAAATTCAACCTTTTATACTCAGTTTTTCATGGAGAATCAGAAAAAGTAGTTTGGAATGTTAGAAAAACAATAAATATGAATATGATACGCTGAAATACGATGAAATATTAATAATATATATGATGAAATATGATATGCTTGATTTCGAAAATTGTGCGAGTTTTTGCTCATTTTCAAAAACTGGGTATTTTTAAGTTTTTCCACCAAAAAATGACTTCTTAAAATGTAGGATTGTGTTTTTCCGATGCAATTCAATGAGCTCTATCCAACCATACCAAAAAAGCGAAAAAAAATTTCGTACTGTAACTTTAAATTACTGACACCTTACACAGAAGTCTTGAACAGATTTGTATTCTTTCTTTTTTTGTCTTTTTAACAAAAGAATCGATCATATTACTTCGTTAACTGTTGTTGCACGTATCTTTTCATTTGAGAAAAAATAATTCTGAACATTTTTGTTCTTTAGAAACACAGAATTATCGTCTTATCGTGATCAAAATGAGAAAGAAAATTATCCTAATGAAATAGTGAATATTATATAGTAGAGATATAAGTGATATTAAATGCAGAAACATATTCTTCAGGTTAAAAAATGTTATGCGAAAGTCTTCGCCCTAATAAGATTGTTTCTTATTGTGCATATACGCTTGCGCATGTACGACAGTTATTTTTGCACACGTTCTTGGCTATAGATAGTACTCGACCTCGAGTATGCTCCAAATACGGTCTCTTGATTTACTTCCTAGACCAAGATATAAATAAAAGAAAATTCGCTTTTACATAGTTATTGTAAAACCCAAGCTAGTTTTCCAAAGATCCTGTGGAAAGTCGGCTTCGAAAAATTATCCAAAAATCGGTTTTGCTTGTAGAAAGATCGCCTCAAGTCTTGGCTATTAAATGGTGAAAATCGCAAGCCTTCATCTTTAGTTAATGCTGAGTTATTCAAAAAAATAACCCCTGCTGTTGTATTTTGGCTTCGATAGTAGTTCGGTCAATAAACGATTTTGTTTTCCTTTCTCAGTTCTAGTGTTCAGTCTGATCAGTACTGTGTTACATTCACTATCGTACCATGGGGAAGTAATGAAGACTGCCCCGGCGATATGCCATTCAATACTACAGCCACAACGTTAGTGAATATTATTAGCAGAACAAAGACCTGAAGTGATTCTTTGATTTATAAATAGGTCAACTTCTACTATTAGTGAAAGTACGACTACGGCGTAAGTAGATTTTTTAAGGTTAAATGAGATTCGTTTCAGGCTTTCTGCCAAAGTCACTCTTTTTACATTTTAAGATGCAGTGCTTAAGACTGATCGCAAATGTTTACTTTATACTTATAGAAGTGTTATCTGAAAAAATCCGGTATAGATTTCGTTCTGAAGGTTGCATAACCTTTACCAAGTCAATAATTTTTTTCGATGGTTTTTTTTGGTTGTTTCGACGGGATTGAGTCAACTGAAAAATCCACTCTCGATATGAAAGCCAAAGGTGTTTTAAATTAAAAATAGGTTGAGGGTATCGAAAACCAAATTTTTCGAGTAAACATTTAAGAAATCGATCTAAATAATTCTTCAAGATTACTTATG